TCACTTCTCTGCCTGTATCTCACTTGTGAACATGCATCTTACACCCTACCCTGGTACACCCATCCCTACAGATGACACTGAAAAATGACCATGCCACAATGTCCTTTTTCCCACAAATTGCTCTCTCTCATTTTCCAACCCAAGTTATTTCATGGAAAAAAAAAACAAAAAAACCGTATATTGGTCACAACTATAAACCAAAAATAAAATTCTAAAACCCCCAACTATCTGACTGGTTCCCTCCTCTCAGCCAAGGGCATTTCAAAGTTAACCTGAAACACTAGTTCAGGCCATGCTGGGAATGGGGAGCTGGGCATGTATAATTATACCCTCCTCTCTTTGGAATTATTGATAGAACAGACTCTAAATCTGACAAGAAACATTTATAATCTATTCTCTCTGAAGCCTGATACCTGGTGAGTTCATCTGCATGATAAAACTGTGGTCTCCATAACCCTTTACCATAACCCAGGCAGTTCTTCCTTTTGATAATAATTCAACCAATTGCCAATCAGAAAATCTTTGAATATGCCTGTGACCTGGAAGTCCCCATCAACTGGTTGTCTCACCTGTCTGAACCAAACCAGTGTACATCTTACATGTGTTGGGTGATATTTTATGTCTCTCTAAAATGTATCAAACCAAGTTGTGGCCTGACTACCTTGGCCATATGTTCTCAGGATCTCCTGAGGGCTGTGTCATTGGCCACTGGTCACTCATATTTGGCTCAGAAGAAATCTTTTCAAATATTTTAGAGTTTGACTCTTTTCATGGACATAACCCATTAAATTGATTTCCTAACCCATAAATGGGTTGCATTGCACAGTTCTGAGAAACAGTGGATAACGAAATGTTTTCTGGAGGTGTATCTTCTCCTAGAAGCCCAGCAGATCCAAGAGCCAGGAGCAGGAGTGCAGCCAGCTGCCTGTGGAAGATAGTTTGAAAACAAGTATCTCCGCAGCTCCCTCAGGTCCTCTTCTAGTTCCCAAACTGGATGAAGATATGTCTGATCTGAAGCCTGGGCTGGTAAGCAGGCACTGAAAGGCAGTTTAATTGGTCAGGCCAGTGGTTTAAACTCAAAACTGAACTACTGCTCCCATTGCCTGAGCCCCATCCCCTCGATCAAAAGGCTGATGTAGGAGACTACAGGGAAGACTGGGAAAAGGAATGCCAAGCCTTTATCTAAGTTCACAAGCTTGGTCCACCTCATTAACAGACATGTTAGCTGTTTGTGTTCAGACCCTAAGGTCAAAAAATGAGAGGAGGCTCCAGGACACTGTATCCTTTTTTCTAAGCAGGGACAGACGTGGTTGAAAAGAAAAGAATAAGAGTCTTCAACCTGGCTAGGGCGGATCATCCTGAACAATGCTGGGACCCGCTGGGTTTTGAAAAGCTGCCAGGGGTGTCGCAGATTACTGACAGCTCTTGTACTTTCCAGATCAAATGCAAATTCCTAATTCCATCAGCAGCTTCCTTCCCAGGCCAAACATTTAAGAACTGTTTGTGGTTGTTTATGAGTAATTAACCACTGCATATGAAATGGTTCTTCCACTACAATGGGCAAGTGCCAGGTGGAGAGAAGACAGGCAGGAGGGGAGGCCCGAATCATATCCTCTCATTCCCACTTCTGGTTCCTTTCATCTGATATGAGGGACTTGTTAGGACAGAGGGTCCCGGTGGGACACACCACAGGCTCTGGGTTGCTATACTGATCATCTCAACTCCAATTAACGGCAGATGTTTGGTCTACATGACGCTGGTATGCAGGGTGATTTCACAAGAGCTAGTAGGGTCACAAGCCACCCTTCACTCCTATTTCAGGCAAGAGTCCAGAGGAGATCTAGTCTTGGCATAACTCCAACAAACTCTGGAATAGTTCAGTGGTTTATCCACAAGGCAAATCAGAGCACAATAGTTATTTTTTAACACAAAGAAACCTTATTTTTCCACCACAGCTCTCATTCTATATTTAAAAGTTAAAGGAGTCTACTGAGGAATGGATGGATAAGCAAAATATGATACATCCACTACAATGGAATGCTACTCAGCCTTACCAAGGAAGAAAGTTCTGACACATGCTTCAACATGGATGAACCTTGAAGGAATACTAAACTGAAATAAGCCACTCACAAAAGGACAAATACTGTATTAGTCCACTTATATGAGGTTCCTGGAATCACCAGATTCACAGGAAGTATACAGGTGGCTGCTAGGGGGTAGGGAAAGGAATTTATGGAATTATTGTTAATTCCCCAGTTCTGGAGGAAAGAGTTCTGGAGATGGATGATGGTGATGGTAGCACACATTAAAAAAAAAAAAAAAAAAAGGCGTGTACTTACTACCGCTAAACTGCACACTTAAAAGTGGTTAAGACGGTAACCAAGGAGGTGAAAGACCTCTACAAGGAAAACAACAAAACACTGCTGAAAGAAATCATAGGTGACACAAACAAATGGAAACACATCCCATACTCACGGATGGGTAGAATCAACATTGTGACAATGACCATATTGCCAAAAGCAATCTACAAATTCAATGTAATTACCATCAAAATACCACCATATTTCTTCACAGAACTAGAAAACAAACCCTAAAATTCATATGGAACCAAAAAAGAGCCCACATCACCAAAGCAAGACTAGGGGAAAAAAAATCCCCAAATGTGAAGACATTACGTTACTCAACTTCAAACTGTACTGTAAGGCCACAGTCACCAAAACAGCATGGTACTGGTATAAAAACAGGCATATAGACCAATGGAACAGAACAGAGGCCCAGAAATAAAGCCAAAAACTGATCTTTGTCAACTGATCTTTGACAAAGCAAGAACACAAAGTGGGGAAAGGACACCCTATTCAATAAATGGGGCTGGGATAATAGGCAAGATGCATGTAGAAGAATGAAACTTGATCCTCATCTCTCTCCCTATACAAAAATCAACTCAAGATGGATCAAAGACTTAAATCTAAGACCCAAAACCATAAAAACTCTAGAAAGTAACATTGGATGGAAAACCCCTTTTAGACATTGGCTTAGCCAAAGACTTCAAGACCAAGAACCCAAAAGCAAACACAATGAAAACAAAGATAAATAGCTGTGACTTAAACTAAAAAACTTCTGTGCAGCAAAACAAATAATCAGCAGAGTAAACAGACAACCCACAGAGTGGGAGAACATCTTCACAATCTATACATCTGACAAAGGACTAACATCCAGAATCTACAAGGAACTCAAAGTAGCAAGAAAAAAAAACAAACAATCCATCAAAAAGTGGACTAAGGACATGAGAAAACAGTTCTCAAAAGAAGATATACAAATGGACAACAAACCTGAAGAAACGCTCAACATCACTAATTATCAGGGAAATGCAAATCAAACCACAATCGGATACCACCTTATTCCTGCAAGAATGGCAATAACTAAAAAATCAAAAAACAGATGTTAGCATGGAAATGGTATAAAGGAAATTTTTTTTTTTGAGACAGAGTCTCACTCTATCCAGGCTGGAGTACAGTGGCACAATCTCGGCTCACTGCAACCTCCACCTCCCAGGTTCAAGCAATTCTCCTGCCTCAGTCTCCTGAGAAGCTGAGACTACAGGCAAGTGCCACCACACCCAACTAATTTTTGCATTTTTTAGTAGAGATGGGGTTTCACCATGTTGGCCAGGATGGTATCAATCTCTTGACCTTGTGATCCGCCCACCTTGGCTTCCCAAAGTGCTGGGATTACAGGTGTGAGCCACTGTACCCGGCCTAAAGGGAATATTTTTACACTGCTGGTGGGAATGTAAACTAGTACAACTACTACGGAAAACAGTATAGATATTCCTTAAAGAACTAAAAGTAGATTTACCATTTGGGCCAGGCACAGTGGCTCATGCCCATAATCCCCGCATTTTGGAAGCCAAGGCGGGTAGATCACCTGAGGTCAGGAGTTTGAGACCAGCCTGGCCAACATGGCGAAACCTCGTCTCTACTAAAAATACAAAAATTAGCCAGACGTGGTGGTGCACATCTGTAGTTCCAGGTATGCGGGAGGCTAAGGCAGGAGAATTGCTTGAACCCAGGAGGCAGAGGATGCAGTGAGCTGAGATCATGCCACTGCACTACCACTATTGGGTATCTACTCAGAGGAAAAGAAGTAGTTATATGTAGAAGACACTTGCGTGTTTATAGCGGCCAAATTTGCAATTGCAAAAATATGGACCCAGCCCACATGCCCAGTCAACAAATGGATAAAGAAAATGTGGTATGTATGTACCATGAAATACTATTCTGATATAAAAAGGAACAAAATAATGGCATTCGCAGCAACCTGGACAGACTTGGAGACCATTATTCTAAGTGAAGTAACTCAGGAATGGAAAACCAAACATTGTTTGTTCTCACTCATAAGTGGCAGCTAAGCTACGAGGATGCAAAGGCATAAGAATGATACAGTGGACTTTGGGGACTTGGAGGAACGGATGGGAAGGGGGTGAGAGATACATACTACACATTGGGTACAGTGTACATTGCCTGTGTGATAGGTGCACCAAAATCTCAGAAATCAGCACTAAAGAACTTATTCATATAACCAAATGCCACTTGTTTCCCAAAAACTGAAAAATTCGAAAAAGTGGTTAAGATGGTAAATATGTATATTCTTCCCACTGTTAAAAAGGGTGGGGGAAATGTAAAGGGGACAAGGTGGGAGATGAGAGAAGAAAAAAATCCTCCTTGCAACTCTAGCTAGCTCATCACTTTGACCAATACCAAAATCTGAAATCAGAAAAGGACTTCTGAAAAACAGCCATGAGGACGTGACTGCTAACCTTCCAGTTTTTCAGGCCAACGTCAGAGTCTCATTTCCATCAGCATCCTGCTTGGGCTTCAGTGTTTGAAACTGTTTTGGAGGCTCTGTTTCTGGCTGACAGTACACAAGAGGGCTCCCTGGGGAACCAAACTCTGGCTGCTCTAGGACAGCCCCAGGAGGCAGCTGGCCGGCACTTTAGTTACCTGGATGGGTAGCCAGCTGCACTGATTCGAATCGTCTCCAACACCCCGCAGGCTCTGAGTTGCTGCACTGCTCTCTTTGGGTCAAAGCTGCCAAAAAGAAAACAAGACAAGGGATGAGTGGCCATGTCTGCAAAAAAGAAACAAAAAAGGATCTTTTCCTGCAGCATATGAAGTAGCTGCTGCCACTGAGTTACAGCTCATCAAGCACCTTTAACCTCAAGGTCAGGGGTTAGGCATAGACTAAAAGACACCAATGGGCAGGCACCTGAGCCATCTCAACATCTTCTGCTCTGTGCCTCAGGCTTTTGTGCACATTCTTATTACCACCTGGGATACTCTTCTTTTTTGCCTCCTGAATCCTTCCCACCCTCCAAGACTCATCATTCCTGCTCCTCTCCAAAGGCTACTCTTACTATTTTCATCCACATGGGCATGCATCTTCACTCACTGTCCCAAGCATAAAAGCTTAGCACAATTATTTGGCTCAAACATTAAAAGGATGAGTTTTAGGCTAGGCAGATCTGGGTTTGAATCATGATATGGTCACTTACCAGCTGGGTGTCTACTTTGGGGCAAGTCACTTCATGTCCCCTTGGGTCTAAGCACCCTTATCTATACAATGGGGAAAAGGGCAGTACCTATTTTATCAGGTTAGCGTGAAGCTGAAATGTAATGGTCCCCAAAAGCAGGTGGAGCACTGCCTGGTACTGCATAGGGCATACACATTGTGCATGTTGTTAGCTATGATCACAACAGCTGTTCAGTTAACAATCATGTAGATGAACTTCATTTACATTATTACAGATTATTTCCCAGTCTTCAGAGATGTGTGCACCATTTTCAACCACTCACATGTCCTACAAAGCTAAGCCTAGCACTGAAAACTCAGTATTTCTTTCAAACATATATTCAATATGGCACTGTAGAATAAAACACCAGACAGTGTGTGAGCTGAGTATCCCTGCTTGAAGAGGAAAGTTTATACAAAACAGTAGATAACAAACATGGTGAAAATGCCGAAAGAAGACAGAGATCAACTGTCTGAGGTTATTAAACACAAATTATGAAAACTAAAAAGAAAAAAAAGAAGCCAGAGAGCAAGACCTCATCGTTGTCTAGAGTAATCGGGGAGTCTTCATAGAGATTAACTCTAGCTAACCTAGAATAGATAATTAATAGATTGAGTCTAGCTAAGCTAGGATTAATCACTATTTTTAATTTGCTAAGACTACTGCCCCACTCCATGAGAAGGGATAAGGAACAAATTCTCCTTTTCCTTCTGCCTGTCCTGCAGCTCAGCTGCAGCCAAGAGCCATGCTTCTTTTCCTCCTTTCACTCTGTGACATGGTCCTTGATGGATGGTGCCCTGGGGTCGCCTGGGCTTAGTGAGCACTTGGCACTGGAAAATAGTGGGCATTTTCCAAGCAACGGATGACTGCAAGCTGCCACCTCACCCCAGGCAACACTCTGCATTGCACATCAGCCCCAGGTCTTGTCCCATGAGATGCCCACACTCTCCTCCAGGCTGTGCTCACTGTGGCTCTGATGCTCCTCTCTGCCCTCCTGAGCCCCACCTTCTTTCCACACCCAGCTCCTCCATAAAATCTTCCGGCTACTCCAGTCCCAAAAGCCCAAGGCACTGAGCATATGAGGCACAATGGAGCATCAATTTACACAGCTCTGAACAAAACAGTCCCTTCAGAAGACTTTTTTTTTTGGAGATGGCGTCTTGCTCTGTCGCCCAGGCTGGAGTGCAATGGCGTGATCTCAGCTCACTGCAACCTCCGCCTCCGGGGTTCAAGCAAATCTCCTGTCTCAGCCTCCTGAGTAGCTGGGATTATAGGCAGGCGCCACCACGCCCAGCTAATTTTTGTATTTTTAGTAGAGACAGGATTTCACCATGTTGGTCAGGCTGGATTCCTGACCTCATGATCCATTCACCACGGCCTCCCAAAGTGCTAGGATTACAGGCATGAGCCCCGCCCCTTTCATCTTTTTAATGAGAGTAAAAGCCCCTTGGTGCAAGGGCCTTACAGCAGGGAAAACGTGCTGAGTACTTGACTGCCTGCTGACCCTCTCACGCCAATGTCCCCTCTGTGGTGGCTCCGCCACAAGAGGCAGCACAGTTCCAGGATCCAAGGGGGTCTTCATCACCAGGGAGGCTATCACCAGAGTCATAAGCAGCTGCTGGGCTGCCCATGACCGCGAGTGATCGGAAGCCTTTGGGCTGCAGGCTTCGCTGCTCACAGGCTCTCACTGCTAAAGCTGTAGCCAGACCCTGTGTCATAAAGGCAGAGTGGATGCCTCTGTGCTTTGGAAAAGGCATCTTGTGGCCTGCAAGCCACCTCCACAGGTGCTCTGTCCCTGACTTCAGCAACCGTGTTCCCCAGGCCAGCCACTGGCCTCTTCCCTCTGCTCAGCACTACCACAGGGTCAAATTCAGCCCATTGTACACACTGGGATGGCAGAGTGCTCAGGAGCATCTGGGACTCATAGATACCACATGGGCTATGGGACCAGCTGGGGGTCCCTCCTTCTTCCAGGACCTCCTACTATTTCCTCATGAAATACATATTTTTAATATATTTTAATGCACTTCAGGTTCTGGGATACATGTGCAAAATATGTAGGATTGTTACATAGGTACATACATGGCAATGTGGTTTGCTGCCTCCATCACCCCGTTACCTATAACTGTCATTTCTCCCCATGTTATGCCTCCTCAACCTCCCTACCCCGCACTGTCCCTCCCCTAGTCCCCCCCAACAGACCCCAGTGTGTGATGCTCCCCTCCCTGTGTCCATGTGTTCTCATTGTTCAACATTCGCCTATAAGTGAGAACATGCGGTGTTTGTTTTTCTGTTCTTGTGTCAGTTTGCCGAATGATGGTTTCCAGATTCATCCATGTCCCTACAAAGGACATGAACTCATCGTTTTTTATGGCTGCAGAGTATTCCATGGTGTATATGTGCCACATTTTCCTTGTCTAGTCTATCATCGATGGTCATTTGGGTTGGTTCCAGGATTTTGTTATTGTAAACAGCACTGCAATGAACATACGTGTACATGTGTCTTTATAATAAAACGATTTATAATCCTTTGGATATATACCCACTAATGGGATTGCTGGGTCAAATGGAATTTCTATTTCTAGGTCCTTGAGGAATCACCACACTGTCTTCCACAATGGTTGAACTAATTTACACTCCCACCTACAGTGTAAAAGTGTTCCTATTTCTCCACAACCTCTCCAGCATTTGTCGTCTCCAGATTTTTTAATGATCGCCATTCTAACTGGCGTGAGATGGTATCTCAATGTGGTTTTGATTTGCATTTCTCTAATGACCACGGATGATGAGCACTTTTTCATATGTTTGTTGGCCTCATGTATGTCTTCTTTTGAGAAGTGTCTGTTCATGTTCTTCACCTGCTTTTGAATGGATTTGTTTTTTTCTTGTAAATCTGTTTTAGTTTTTGTAGATTCTGGATATTAGCCCTTTGTTAGACAGGTAGATTACAAAAATTTTTTCCCATTCTGTTGGTTGCTGGTTCACTTTAATAATTGTTTCTTTTGCTGTGCAGAAGCTCTGGAGTTTAATTAGATCCCACATGTCTATTTTGGCTTTTGTTGCCAGTGCTTTTGGTGTTTTAGTCATGAAGTCCTTGCCTATGCCTATGGACTGGATGGTTTTGCCTAGGTTTTCTTCTAGGGTTTTTATGGTGTTAGGTCTTATGTTTAAGTCTTTAATCCATCTGGAGTTAATTTTAGTGTAAGGTGTCAGGAAGGGGTCCAATTTGTTTTCTGCACATGGCTAGCCAGTTTTCCCAACACCATTATTAAACAGGGAATCCTTTCCCCATTGCTCGTTCTTGTCAGGTTTGCCAAAGATCAGATGGTTGCAGATGTGTGGCGTTGCCTCCGAGCCCTCTGTTCTGTTCCTTTGGTCTATATCTCTTTTTTGGTATCAGTACTATGCTGTTTTGATTACTGTAGACTTGTAGTATAGTTTGAAGTCAGGTAGTGTAATGCCTCCAGCTTTGTTCTTTTTGCTAAGAATTGTCTTGGCTATGCGGGCTCTCTTTTGATTTCATATGAAGTTTAAGGTGGTTTTTTCCAATTCTGTGAAGAGGGTCATAGGTAGCTTGATTGAGATAGCATTTAATCTATAAATTACTTTTGGCATTATGGTCATTTTCACAATATTGATTCTTCCTAACCATGAACATGGAATGTTTTTCCATCTGTTTTGTGTCCTCTCTTATTTCCTTGAGCAGTGGTTTGTAGTTCTCCTTGAAGAGGTCCTTCACATCCTTTGATAGTTGTATTCCTAGGTATTTTATTCTCTTTGTTGGAATTCTGAATGGCAGTTCGTTCTTGATTTGGCTCCCTTTAAGTCTGTTATTGGTGTATAGGAATGCTTGTGATTTTTGCACATTGATTTTGTATCCCAAGACTTTGCTGAAGTTGCTTATCAGTTTCAGGATATTTTGGGCTGAGACAATGGGGTCTTCTAAATATACAATCATGTCGTCTGCAAATAGAGACAATTTGACTTCCTCCTTTCCTAACTGAATACCCTTTATTTCTTTTTCTTGCCTGATTGCTCTGGCTAGAACTTCCAATACTATATTGAACAGGAGTGGTGAGAGAGAGTATCCTTATCTAGTGCCAGATTTCAAAGGGAATACTTCCAGTTTTTGCCCATTCAGTATGATATTGGCTGTGGGTTTGTCGTAAGTAGCTTTTATTATTTTGAGATACGTTCCACTGATACCTAGTTTATTGAGAGTTTGTAGCATAAAGGGCTGTTGAATTTTGTTGAAGGCCTTCTCTGCATCTATTGAGACAATCATGTGGTTTTTGTCTTTGGTTCTGTTCATATTGTGGATTACGTTTATAGACTGGCGTATGTTGTACCAGCCTTGCAACCCTGGGATAAAGCCTACTTGATCGTGACGAATAAGCTTTTCGATGTGCTGTTGTAATTGGTTTGCCAATATTTTATTGAAGATTTTTGCATCTATGTAAATCATGGATATTGGCCTGATGTTTTTTTTTTTCTTGTTGAGACTCTGCCAGGTTCTGG